AGGTAGCATATGAGAACTATCTCTAAATAACAGGTGCCGGTTTATGGTTTTTATCAGTCTTCTGCCACTTTTTGCTTCCATGGTTTACTGTTTTTTGGAAAAAAGGTTTGTTGTGATTTTGGTACGAGACTCTAAATAATATATATGCTTATTTTTTTGTAAAAATATAGTAATTAAAACTATTTAATTATTTATTACAAAATAATATATATATTTTTAATCAAATTTGTAAACTACAGCTTATCTATATAATCACCTAATTGTTATCTAATTACATAAATATAAAATATGCTTTTTGGTTAAAAATTAGCATTTTGTTTTAGTATTACTCTAGCCATCTAATACTAGATATAATATAATATATGTATAATAAAAATAAGTACATTTCAGTGCTTTAGTACTAAAATGTGTTTATATTTTATTTATATATATATTTATTACAGAATAGTTCTAATTCTTAAGTCTATATGAAATTTGTTTCAACGATCTACATACTACTAGTCTGAAATTTAAGTTCCATAGTTTTGTTCCATATTTTTGTTCTATATAGATTTAATAGTAAATCAATTTTCGTACCAAAATTTGGTTCAACTAATTAAATTTCTTTATTTCAAAATTTGTTCAATGATCTACATACTACTAGTCAGAAATTTAAGTTTTATAGTTTTGTTCCATATTTTTGTTCTATATAGATTTAATAGTAAATCGATTTTTGTACTAAAATTTGTTTTAACCAATCAGATTTCTTTATTTTAAAATTTGTTTCAATGATCTACATAGTTTTGTTTCATATTTTTGTTCCATATAGATTTAATAGTAAATCGATTTTCGTACCAAAATTTGTTTCTAACATAATACTATGTATATAATGATCATTATTTCAAAATTCCGTCTAACTAACTATCAAAATGCTTCTAAATAAACTTGTAGATATGAAATCAGGCTACTTGAATCAAAATTTTATGTAAAACGGATAAATATTCACAGAGATATTTCAATTTTTGTAAAAAGAAGACCTATATGTTTTTACTAGTTTTTCTATTTAGAAAAATCTAATTCTGGTTACTTTGGTCAAATGAAACTTCAATATATGTATTAATATAGCTAATAGGTAAGCTATTCAGCTATTCACAGTCAAAATTTCAGACTTTTAACTTTAAAATTGACGAAATGATAAAATTTTTTCATATAGTTTTACAGATATGAAAATTTGTGATAAAAATTGCCAAAAATTCTTGGTTTTAGCTCAAATTTTGAGAAAGTATATAATAATGTATGCTAAAATTTTACATACTAGTTGTAGAGTTGTGTAGAATTTTTCTTGTGAAGTTTGGCGGGTTTTGGACAAATTTTGACCAAGATCTTGCATTTTTTCACTAATCATCTTTCTTTGTCTATATGTTTAAGGTAGATACCTATTAATAATTTTTTTTTTAGTTAAATGAAATATGTAATATTATAATAACAAAGTTGGTGCAGATAATATCCAAGAATACGTGTGTAATATTTCAGCTCAAACGAACACATATTCGTGAAATGATGCCAAATTTTGATGAAGCAGTTTTAAATTGTCTTTGTAGATCAAAATTCATGTAACCGTAATCGTTAAATATCTCAAATTTTATTAGTAAAATAACCAAAGTGATTCTATAAAACTAGCAGTTTTTTCCATTCTACAACTTTTAATAATAATATAAAAGTGATTATCTTAATAAAATTTGGTATAAAATGCATTTTAATTCTGATAGCATTTTTCTCTAGACATTTTTCTTTAGTGTAGTAGAACTTTTTAGAACTTTTTTTTACTGTAATTGGTCATTATGAGTCACAAATTTCTAAAAATAGATTCAATTGGAGTATAGTTGGAACTATGGTTTGTTATATGAATAACTATTATTTTTCATAAAAAATAAAGCATTTTTCAATATTTAGTAATGTAAGTTTTTTTAACCTAAAAAGTATAAATAGAGCTATTTTGACTTGTACTAAAACATTGTTGGAGCATTTTTTTTTTTTCAACATGTCTGAAATTAATTTCCAAACAGCATTTCACTATTTTAACTTTACATTATACGAACATTTAGACACTTTCTTTGCATATATTTCTAAACTTTTTAAAACAAAATCATGTAAATTTTAAGAATTATTTTTTAAGTTTGAACCCAATAATAATTTGACTCTACCTGGCCGATATCATGCACAAGGATGGGCTAAATTTTGTAATAATTCAAAACAACATGTTGGTCATTGGAATCGTGACAAGCAACTAGAATAAAAAAAAATTTTCAGACAAATGTTCATATTCACTATACTAATACTACAAAAGAACAATGTTATGCATATATAGATAAAAATTTTAAGCAATGCAAGAATTCATGCTATCAATCATGTTTATGTGACTATAAAAATCAATCACATAGATGTGCAAATTGCACTTCAAATTGTAATCGTCCATCTGCAAGAATGTCAGAGTTTCCTAAAATATACCATTTTATCTATAATAAAACAAAAATTGATGAATATAATGCCCAAGTTGCAAATGATCTTATGGAAGATTTAATCGAAAATAATTTATCTGGAAATAAAGCAATTGTTAAACATGCTCAAAACTTTTCACAAGTATAGACAAACAATCCAAAAAATATATATGTTGTTCGTAATGTAGTTAAAAATATTAAAAAGAAAAAAACCCAGTTAGAAAAATTTTGGCATCTAGTAACATTCTATTTTTATGGCAAGGGTTGTGCAGGCAAATCAAATCTGGTTCAGAAGCTATTTTGGTCAGAGTTGTATCCTAAATTTAAAAACAAAAAAATGGTTTTTCTTGGTGAGATGGTTATCAAGATCATTTTATAGTTTTTCTTGATGAATGATATACATGTGTTGATTGGAATTCTATTGTAAAATATTTGAATAACACTCCAGAAACTGTTGAAATTAAAGAGAAGTCATTTGTTCCCTTCTTAGCTAAATATATTTTTATGACTTCTCGTAAATCTGCAAAAGAAGCTTTTAATTTTGGTCAAAGAAATATAAATGATGAAATATCTACACAATGTGACTGGAAGTAATTTAAAAGACGACTTGATTTTATAATTGAATTTAAAGATAAATGGAATGATAATATTGAAAAATGTACAACACAACTCATTTTTCATAAAGGTTTAGAATCTGATTTTTATGGTATACTTTGGGATCTCAAATATGACAAATGCGAGTATACTACTGAAGAACTTAAAAAAATTGTTCAAGAACTAAACAAAGATAAACCAGGAGAAGTTATAGTCAAAAATAATCAAGTTTATTGGTATTAAATTTTTTCTAAATATAAAAAACATTATTTACGAGATTATCCATATTATAAAGAATTATCTAATTATAACAACAAATATATGCAAAAGTTGAATCAGATAATGAAATAAAACTTAATTATGTTTCAGGTTTATTACAATCAAAAGATCAACATTCTGAAATTGATAATAATATAGAAATTGAATTATCTAAACCTTATTCTGATGATAGTGAATATATTTCTCAACAAAAAAAAAGAAAATTTACTTTAGCTCAAAAAAATAATCAAGTAATTAAAAAAAACAAAATTTAATATTAGTCTTTATTAATTAGATAATCAAAATTATTTTGGTTCAAACGAATATTATATTTTTATATATTCTTATACTTTTTTTATTATTACGGTGCGGGACACCTAAAGGCAACCCTAAATTTGGATATTTTTAAAATGTAATCAAAAGTTATACAGATATGTTACAAAAAAAAGGGGGCCGCTATTTTGTAGCCAAACCTGTTTACTACAAAATAGCGGCTCTTTTTTAAAAATACAATTACCCGTTATCAAGATATATCCGGTTAAAAAAATTGCATTTTCATATGATCGACGGAAAATGGGACAGATAACGTGACCTGAAATTACCCAATCAAATTATATTTTACACTTGATTGGCTAATAAATGATTACGTTTTTTATTAATCGATCACATTATCGATAACCATGCAGAATAAGATGCAACTGTAAAAAAAAAAATTGTTCAAGAAGGGCTGTAATCGCACATTGCTGTGATCAGACCGAATAACAAACCGAATAGTGCTATGATCAGACCTTAACAACGAGACAAAAAGGCGAGACGAAAAGGCGAGACGAAAAGGCAAAACGAAAAGGCAAAACGAAAAGGCAAAACGAAACATCACAAAAACTAGACAATTACTGTAATAATTTGTCACTGGAGGTTATTGAATTAAAATTGTATCGTTAGACTTTATATATAGACTTAATCTATTGAATCCGCTCCTTTTTTAAAAGAAAAAAAAAAAAGAAAAAAAAAAAAGAAAAAAAAAAAAAAAAAAAAAAAAAAAAAAAAAAAAAAAAAAAAAAAAAAAAAAAAAAAAA